CCCCAAAACCCCAAAACCCCAAAACCCCATTAGGAGGAATAATAATTGAAAAATATTATTAAAAATAAAAACTAAGATGAAAAAGAAAAATGAAGCTAGGGATAAAAATTCTATATTTCATAAGTTGAATGAGATCGAGCCCAAGCCTGCCAAGAGCAATAAGATTAGGTCAAGAGAGTTCAGGTAAGATCGAGTAGAATTTGTTGAGGTGTTAGAGAATACAGAACAGTAGAGAAGTTAGATAATAATATAGTTATATTTTAGTTGCATCCACATTTCAAGATGAGCTATTAGTTAAATGAGTTAGTCTTTCAAACAAACTCTTAATATTTTTATATAAACATTTTGTGACATAATCTTGTTCAAACTTAAACTTCTAAGAATTATAAAAAGGTCTATCTTATAATTCCCTAAGATATTGTCATCATTGCTTCAGATTCTCCAATAACCTTCTTGTTTGATTGTTATTTACACACTCAACACCTAAAATCCGGTTACAGAATTTGGATGTACTCACCTTCCCAAGTAAACTCCAGCATTCCAAATAGATTTCTCATGTTAAAATTGCTTAAATCTAAATTAATTTTCAAACTAGTTAAAACCCCTTCTCTATGCTCACTGTTGGATCATATTATAGTCACCATAGAAGGCATCACTAAACTTTTGCTAACATATGGAAATATACGCTACCTTTGTTGATGCTTATGGACTCTCTGTTGCATATGCTTCTAATTCTGAGACTAAGAAATCTCAGAAGGGACTTTTAGATTTTCGTATATGCCCAAGAGCTCAGAAGAACATCTGTGATGCTCCTCGTGTTCGACTCCTGGTATAAGATGCTTCTCTCTTATTAAATTTAGTGTAGGAATTTTAAACAGCAAAATCTATAGAAAAACTGAAATAACTTTCTTGCTCCAAATTTTTTAAATGATACCCCATATTTAACAAAGCTCCATTACCATTGCTTTGGAGATAAACCTCACAACAATGGCCAAATTTTTTAGGTAATTTGATGAATAATATATATTCTTTACCTAATCATTATCACTCAATTCTCAAACAATTATTCTTCAGAAAACATCTTCCCCTCACCCCTCACCCCAAAACCCCAAAACTTAAAAGAACTACCCTCCAATTCACTATCCTCCCCAAAACCCAATCTACAACCCCAAAACCCCTACCTCCCCCACTACTCCCCACCCCATCCCCCCAACCCACTGACCTACTTCCTCCCTTCCCTCCCAAAGTAACCCTATACAGTCCCTTCCTCCACACCAGCCCTAGATTTCTGGTCTTTAGGTTACCAAAGTTTGGAAAATTAGGTGGAGCAGAAATTGTACTGGCTGGATTTTTGGAGGTTTGGAAATTAGGAGGATTGGGTGTTAAGGGATTTTGGGATTATTGGAAGGAGAATTTGTTAGGTGAGGGGCTGTGGAGGGTTTGGGGGATTGGGCTCTTGGAGGTTGGATAGATACTTTTGGAGGGGAGGTATTGTGTGAGGGTGTGGTATTAGAGCAGGGTTGGCAATTTTAATATGGTTTTCGTCTTCAAGGAAGGTCTTTGTTTCTAGTATCTTAGAAGAGTAATATGAGTCTTAAAAACATATTTACGGTGAATTTAATTCCTCAATCAAGTCCAAGCATGTGAAGAAGTACACTTGAAATCCTTGAGCATAAGTTTCTGATGCAGGTTATATGGTGATTTTCATAACTCGATAGAATCTTTGAATGCAATTTTTGGATGCCAATAATATTACAAACTTTACATTTGAGCTTCATCTTCCTCTTAATATTTATTATAAAAAAGGCAAGCTCTGGGTTTTTAAGGTTTTGTGTCATGCTTGCACTTGGGAGGGTGGAAAATTTAACCCAATCTTCTTCTCTGCTGGGTCATATCATATTTCCAAAATTTCTATGTTTGAGGGCCTTCTTTGAGATCCAAGAAAATAAACTAGCTGGGGTCCCAAGAAATTCTAGTAATGTGTCCCAGATATTAAGTCTCTATATAATTGATAATTTAGAGAACGGAAAAAGAAAGAAAGAGATGTCCTTGCTCAAAGAGTCCAAGAGTTGGAAACAGAAGTTGATAAGCTCAAAGCAGAGAATGTACGTATCATGACCGTCTCTATATTCCATTGCTTAAACCCTTCGCTTCTCTCAAAATATTGCTTCTAAAAACACAATATAGGTAATCTTAAAATCAAAACTCCAAGATGCTTTGCAAAGCTGTCATAAGAGTGAAACCAGCAGTAATCGCTTACTAAAATCTCAAACAAATTCTGAAAAGATTCCTCTTCAGAGGATTCAGGAGTTTAAAATAGAGGAGAAGTTCTGATACGAGCAAATCCCAAACATGATCCACAAAGAGCCTGGAAAGGTCAGGTTCACGCTGCTTGATAGGGTTATTGAGAAAGTGGGTCTCTACGGGACGGATAGAGTAAAAGCTCTCAAAGAAGCCTTCAAATTCATAATTGATAACATTTGTCCATTAGAAGCCAAGGGCCTCTTCTGATGATATACCAAAGTCACTATAGAAGACTGGTCCAAAGCATATAGACTGAAGTTAAAATAAGAGAGATAGGAAAGAATACCTGAAGACAATGGATGGTTACGACCCCTTCTTTGTCAATATGACTATCGATCAGAATTATTCAGAAACAATGACTGATTTCTGGATCAATAATGGAGAAGGTAAGCTATAGCATTTAGTATAGCCTATCTCTCAAAAATGCAGAATTTGAAAATTTACATTCATCAGCTTATCAGAATCAGAAATAGAATTCTTAATACTCTCAAAGCTTGAGATGACATGAGCAAAGAAGGTGGAATGAATATTTGATATAGCAAGAACGATTACTCAATCCTCCTTGAGGAATTTACAAAACTTCATACTTTGGGGTTCCTAGACTCACATAAATTATGGGAGATCACTAAAAATGAGACTAAAGACGAGTCGTATGTAGAAGACATGCTTTCAGTCAGCTCTGATGATACTCCACCTCAGATGATCAAGGAATATGTTGTAAATAAAAGTATCGTTAAGCAGGAGTAATCACTGTAGACAACTCTTTAACAATTATTTCAAGTTTAGCATTCTATTTATGTAAAACTTCTTAAATCAATCTCTGTTTCTGAAACTGGGGTTTTGGGGTTTTGGGGTTTTGGGG